CTCCGCTTCTCTCCTTCATCCTCAGCTATAGTTGTGATTCATCTCTCATATGAAAGTATGAGTGACTATAAATTGGTTTCATAGTAGTACTGAGTACATTGAATATATTTTTTTTCATTCCTGAGGTACTTCACTAAGAAGAATATTTTCCAGTTCCATCCATGTAAACATAGAAGAGGTACCGTGTTCAGATCTTAAGTGGGAAACTCTGTGTCAGCCCCTCAGGTGGGACCGAATGGTGAATAACAGAAAGAAACAACCGTTTCTCATACAACGGTTTCTCAAACAACCGTTCATGCTCATATTCCTGAATCAACAGCAAATCACAGAACAATAGTCACAGGGACAGAACACAGCAGGTGTGCCCTCATATTTCCAAGGCAATATTTCTACAGTGTGAAATTTGGGGGGAACATGTGCGTAAGAGAACCATCCCCGCCCCACCCCGGATGTGCACAACACCAGGTACTTCTTTCCAGGTAGTGAACCAATCCGTCCTGCACTCAGGGGGTGCCATAAACCCAGAACTTCTCATAATTACAGCCGTTCACGAAGAATCCCAGGGAACCATCTGACCTCCCACTTACTGAGACGGCAGAACAATTCCACCTTCCTACCACAGACCTGAGACCTCCAGCTAATAGGATTCCACTTTCTCACCTTCTGTCTGGGGACCGCGCCTGGCAGACAGGATGCCACTGCCGAAAGCACTGATCTTCTCCTCCCTCTGGGTTTGTGAGTTGCCCCCCAGTCATCTCAGTCCACCAGAGGGACTGAAGTCATTCTTTATTGCCGCCTCCTCGCATATCATTTGTTCACAGGAATTTCTCTTCTTTGCTTGCAGTTGGACTTGGGAATTTGGAGCAATCTGAAATATCCATTTCCAGAGGAAGAGATAAGAGTGCCCAAATATCCTGTACGGCATCCATTGAAAACTTTAACTCCGCAGCCATACACTGGTACAGGCAGAAAACAAACCAAGGTTTAGAACATCTCTTATATGTCACTCAAGCTCTTGCACGTGCGAAGAACAATAAATTTGAGGCAAGGAAAGAGTTTCCTGCTTCCATTATAACCTTGAAAATAAATTCCTTAGAGAAAGAAGATGAAGCCATGTACTACTGTGCCTGGTGGAGCCACAGTGTTAGAACTGCCAGGTAACCCGCCCAAGAACCATCTCTGGGTCTGTGCCCACCCACATCCTTCCACAGTACCCAGTCTGAGCCTCCCCTCCTTACACCACTTCCAGAGCCGTGCGGGAAGACAGCTTGGATTCTGTTGTCTTACTGTGCCCTGCACTGTATCACCAATCATCGTCCAAATTAATGAAGGACAATTTAATATTCTTTCCTACTACACTGGGCTGTGTGGGACTCTGAAAGTACAGTGTGAATAGCTTACAGCAAAATCCAGCTGTCTGTCAATGCACTGTATGGAAACTTCCAGTAACTAAATGGTTCAGAATAAAGGCAGGAAGTGGTTGGTCTACATCATCGGGAGAGGGGTCTACATAGTACACAGATATTTCCTGTCATTTCCCCCTTTTGTTCATGAGCATTAGAGGTCTTCAAAGTTAGAATACCGTGTCAGATACAGTAATTACGTGGCTTTTATTAGCATCCTGGGGCCGTCCTGAAGAAATCTGGGAACACTAGACCTATAGGTAAACAGCAACTTTGAGAGACCAAATGAAGTATAAGTCCTGTGTCCTGGGGAGGAGGGTACAGCCCAGTCCACACTGAGGCGCCATGCTGGGACAAAGCAAGCCCTGTCCCCAGGGAAGAACAGAGTCCCTGCCCACAGTAGGTGACCTCCACAGGGTGGACGTGCTTTGAAGCCCTTGTTTTCCAGGGTTCTGCAAAGAACAACAAAAATCGTGGCTACAAAAGAATCAGACGGTTAAGAAGAAAGATGATTCATGTTCTCCCCTGCATCTATAGAGGAAATACCCATAAAGAACCCTCACAAATAAATAAAATAAACAATTACTGACAATTACTTTGTGTTTATTCTGTATATAGTATAGTTGGGTGGTTGGGAACTTTCAGGAAAAACATAAAATGCAAAACTGTTAAGATCTCCTCTCCTACCTCCTTATAGTTTCCTTTCAAGTAAGGAGGAAATTTTCTTACTTTAGAAAATTTTCCTCGTATTGGTGCCTTTAGTAATACGGATACCTCCCCAAAGAACTGCCACACATAAGGTTTACCTACATGCCCTGAACTAACTGCTGTCCATCATTCTCTGTTTCTCCCTTCTCGGGATCAAGTTGTGCTCTCAAGGGCAGAGATGCTGTAGAAAGCCAAATGACAGGACACCGGGAGGCTGCCCGACAGACGAACCGCTTCCCAGGAGCAGACTCAGAATCTTGAGTCCCATGTCACTGTCCGTCATGGTTGCTGTTTCTAGTGGGCCGTGGTGGGGACGACTGAGCACCTGACTGAGTCTCAACAGACCTCACCTCTCAGCTAGTGTGTATATGAAAGTATATGGAGAAAGAAAACCATTAAAGTCATACAAAGAATCTGAAAACATGAGTCTTTTCTAGAAGGCAGTGTGTGAAAAGATAGAATCAAGTTTGTTCACAATACCTGCGCTAAGTACTTTATTTGTATGATTTCATTTAGTCCTCATAAGAGCAGTGTAGAGTGAGACCACAGCGGCCACACGAGGTTAGATCTCAGAAAATAAAGCCATTTTAACCTTTCAACAGACCTCCGGGAGATTTATGGGGATGAAAATTTGGAGACACACTAAAATGAGGAAAGCGGGGAAAGGCACACCTTATCTCTGTGGCTTTAGGGTGATCAGATACTGCGTAGCACTTAAACAGAGTGGGTTTGGGGGGAAGAACTACAAGTAAAACTGGAAACACTCACCGCGTGTTAGCAAGGAGACTGTTGAACACAGAACTGGTTTATATAATAAGCTCTCAAACACATGCATGTGTTTATGGACAAAAGAACAAGTGGAGAGACATTCTCCAAAGTTTAAAGAGCGGGTGTCTGAAAAGATAAATGATTGGAATTTTATCTTAGTACTTTCACGAATTTTAGACACTGTAGCAAAAAGTTCTGTTACTTTCAAAGATATGTATGCATAACAGATTCTAGATTTCATTTGTTCATTTAATAATGAAATTGTTTATATAACAATATTAACTACATACGGCAGACTTAAAATTGTTACATACTTATACTTTTCCACCTAATCATGTTACTCAGCTCCATAGCGCTGAGAAATAAACAAAACTACAGTAACCTTTATGGTCATAGTGGGTTCCTAAGGCGCAGAGCATCAGCAAACTATGTCCATTCCAAGCAGCACCCGGTGCTGTGAAGTTTCATTACACTCAACCCTGCCTGCTTGTTTACGTATTACCTATAGCTGCTTTTGCACGCCAATGGCCAAGTTGAGTACAGGTGGCCCTTTGAATTCGCAGACTCAACCAAATGTGGACTGAAAATACTTGAAAAAAAATAACAGTACAACGACCATAATAAGACAAATATAATATAACAACTACTTATATAACATTTATGTTGTACCAGGTATAAGTAATCTAGATTTGATTTGAAGAAGTGGTGTCCAACCTGTGGCCGACTGTCCACAAGATGATTTTGTGAGGACTTCTTCACTTATCTGTGGTGTCTGATACTGTGAAAAGTATTACAAGGATCTTTTTATTGCTAAAAAATTCTTTCTGTTGTTTTCATTAGTGATTCTGTATTTAACCTGTGGTCCAACTTCTTCCAATGTGGACACTCCTGATTTAAAGGCTAAGGGAGAATATGTACAGGTATGAATCCTCCACTATTTTACGTTAGAAGCTTGAGCATTGCGGGTTTGGGGATCTGGAACAAACCCCTTGCAGATACCAAGGGGCGAATGTATGTAGTTGCAACAGAGACACATAAAATCTAAAATATTTACCATTTGGCCCTTTATAGAAAATGTTTGTCAACCATTTTCTAGAGTGAATTGTTGATGAGTGACATCTACTTTTATTTAATGTTTCCTAACTTCTCAGTGATCCTTTGTTAAATAGCCACCCTTCCCGTATTAGCTGTGTGATTTTGGATAAATGAGTTAGCGTATCTCTGATTCATTTTCCTAACTTTAAAATGGAGAACATAGTAATATTGACCCAAATAAACTGTTGACAAGAGTAACCTAATACACATAAAGTCCTTGCAAGTGCTTGAAGCATGCCCAGTGCCCAATAAATTGTGGGAGTTATCGCTGCAAAATTAGGAAACAAAACTGTTCAGAATAAAATTCTAGGCCCTTGGTTCTCAAAGTCTGGCTTGTGAATCACATCTGCTTCACATAGGAACTTATTACAAATGCAGAAACTCAGCCTATATTCTGGGCCAACTGAGTCAGGATCTCATTCCACAAAGTCTCCAGGCCACCTTGAAGGGGTGTCCAACCTGAGACCCGCAGATTGCATGCAGAATATTTGAGGACAGTTTTGTTTATCTATGGTGTCAGATATTGCAAAAGTTAGCATGGACCTTTTATTTGTTCATCAGCTTTCGTTAGTGTTTGTGTATTTATTTAACATGTGGCCCAAGACGACACTGCTTCTTCCAATGTGCAGCGGAAAGACACCACTGTATGGAGCAGGGGTCTAAGTCCCAGGCTATTCCAGAGACGAGCTCCACAGTCTCTAGGACAAGAGCCAATCCCATTTCCAAAGGATGGTTTGTGTGGTGTCCTCTCTGATTTCTGAGTTGGTATTTGGTCTTTCTGAGGCTGAAATAGATGGCAACCTCCCAATTAATGAAAAAACAGTGTACTTCATGGTCCATGCATGTGTACACTTACTTTATTATATAAAAGGCAATATAATATCAGCACAAATTTTCAGTAGTTATTTCATTTACTGAAAAATACAGCTCTTCCTTCATTACCTTGAATTCTAGATCCACAGTCAAGGACAAGAATAATAATTGTTGCACAGAACCCAAAAGACATGTCCTTTGTTTTTGGCTCAGAGGAGGCCAAGGTGCAACTTTCTTCAGTCACCCCAAATCCAGGTTCCTCCGACGGCAGCCACCTCCACCATGCTGCCTAAGTTCAACCCCAATGACATCAAAGTCATGTACATGAGGTGCACAGGTGGTGAAGTCGGTGCCATGTCTGCCCTGGTTCCCAAGATCGACCCCCTGGGTTTGTCTCCAAAAAAGGTTGGTGATGACATTGACAAGGCTACCAGTGACAGGAAGGTTCTGAAGATTACAGTGAAACTGACTATTCAGAACAGACAGGCTCAGATTGAAGTGGTACCTTCTGCCTCTGTCCTCATCATCAAAGTCCTCAAGGAACCACTGAGAGACAAAAAGAAACAGACAAATATTAAACACAATGGAAATATTACTTTTGATGAGATTGTCAACATTGCTAGACAGATGAGGCACAGATCTTTAGCCAGAGAACTCTCTAGAACCATTAAAGAGATCCTGGGGATGGCCCAGTTGGTGGGCTGCAATGTGGATGGCTGCCACCCTCATAACATCATAGAGGACATTAACAGTGATGTCGTGGAAGACCCAGCTGGTTAAAAAGTACAAGGGAAAATGTTTCAATAAAGAATGATTTGACACCCACCCCCCCACACAAAAAGACATGTCCTCATATCACTAGGGCAACGTTGCTACTGAAAAATGAATAAGGAGGGAATGTGGGAAGGGAGGGAAAATGGGGTCAACTGTCACTGTGGCCTCTCACCCACACCCCAGCCCTTTTAGAAGAGCTCTGGCCTGATCAATGCCCTGTCACCAGCTCTGCTGGGCATTCTTGGGGCACTGTGAGCCCGGGAGAGTCAGAGCTGCATGGTCTGCTCACCACAGGGCAGCCTGTCTCAGATTCACCCTGACCCAGCACTTCCTTCCCTGGCACCGGCTCAGACCAAGCTGGCTCGGCCACATCACTCACCCTTCTAGGTACGGGCATCCTCACATCCCTGCTGCTTTTTGGAGACACAGCCTGGCGTGAGCCAGAGCGTGGTCTTCTCTGTCTGGCACTGGAGATTGCTTTTCAGTCCTTTCAGTCTGTATGTCAAATGAAGAAATTCATCACTGCTTCCTCTTTTTTTGTCAGGTGTTCATAAGAATTAATTTTTATTTTCTAAAATACCTTTAATTATGATAGGTACATAACAGTTGCATATCTTTATAGGTATATGCGATGTTCTGACACAGGCATACAATGAGAATTAATCAAATCAGGGTAATGTAGAGTGTCCTATCACCTCAGGTATTTATTATTTCTTTGTTTTAGTAACATTCCAATTCTACTCTTTTAATTAGAGCATGTCCTAAATTACTGTGGATCACAGTTACTTTGTTGTGCTATCAAATATTGTTAACTCTATTTAACTAAATTTTTGTGCCCATTAACCACCCCCACTCGCTCCTCCCCATCCCCGCTGTCCACCTCAGCCTCTGGTAACCATCATTCTATTCTCTGCCCCCATGAGATCAATTTCTGTTAATATCTAGCTCCCACCTGTTAATGAGAACATGCGAGATTTGTCTTTCTGTGCTTGGCTTATTTCACCTCAAGTAATGTTCTCCTGTCCATCCACGTTGTTTCAAATGGCAGGATTTCATTCTTTTCGTTGATATAAAATATTTCATTGTGTATTGTTTACCCATTGCTGGAGACTTAGGCTGCTTCCTTGGCGATTATGAAAAGTTCTGTAATAAACACGACAGTACAGATACGTTTTTGATACACTGCTTTCCCCTCCTTTGGATATACACCCAGCAGTGGGATTGCAGCATCTTATGGGCAGTCCTCTTTCCACTTTTTTGAGGACCCTCCCTACTGTTCTCCGTAGCAATTGAATTAATTTACATTCGAACAAATAGTGTCTGGGGGTTCCCCTGTCTCCACATCCCCCCCAGCTTTCATTATTGCCTTTTTGATAAAAGCCATTTTAACTGGGGTGAGATATTATCTCATTGTAGTTTTGATTTGTATTTCTCTGATAACTAGTGATGGAGCACTTAGTAATATACTTGTTGACCAATTTGTATGTCTTCTTTTAAAAAATTTCTATTTAGATCTTTGCCCATTTTGTAATAAGATTTTTGGATTTTTTCCTATTGGGTTGTTGGAGGTCCTTGTGTATTCTAATTATTAATCTGTTGTCAAATGGGTAGTTTGCAAATATTTCCTCCTATTCTGTGTGTTGTCTCTTCACTTTGTTGATTGTATCCTTTGCTGTGTAGAAGCATTTTAGCTTGATGTGATCCCATTTGTCTAATTTTGCTTTAGTTGCCGGTGCTTTGGGGGTGTGACACAAGAAGTCCTTGCACAGACCAATATCTTGAAGCATTTCTCAAAAGTTTTCTTTTAGTAGTTTCATAGTTTCAGGGGTTTAGATTTAATTCTTTAAACCATTTTGCTTTGATTTTTTTATATGGAGAGAGATAAAAGTCTAGACTGATTCTTCTACACGTGGACATCTGGTTTTAGCCGGTTATTCAGTGCCCCTTACTCGTTCCCTGGCACTGCTCTAAATCCCCTGTGTGAGGCTCATCTCATCCTTGGGACAATCCTTTGATGTTGGTGCTATCACAATTCATATTTTATAGATGAGGAAACAGATGTATAGGGATGGACTTTACTTTGTGGTCACAGGGTTACTAAATTGGGTGGAGACCTGGGTTTTTGCCTTTAGTGTCTGTCCTTTTAACCATCCTTAATTCCCACCCCTGAAACAGAGGAATAACAATGACATCCAAAATGTGGTCCCTGAATCTAAAGAGAAAACTAGCAGGAGGATTAAACTAGACATTTTTCATGAAATAATAAGGCTGAATGTAGACCAGTGGGAGAGGGTGAACCCTTGGGGATCACAAATATACAAGATTTTCCAGTATCTTTTAGGCTATTTCCCCACCAAGCTCCTGCAGGGAAGATCATGCAGAATCCAGAGAAGCCCCCTGTTGCTGCTGGCTGGAGGAGGGGAGCAGCAGCCACTGCTGAGATTCACCCAGACCCACTCTAGAACAAAAGACAACGCACAGGAGCAGGCAGGCGCCTGGGACGTCATCAGAGTGGGGAGGGGAGGACACTGGGGGGTGCTGACTGCTGGTAGAGGGTAAGCTGTTCTGCCTGTGGGATGGGGGCCAGGCCAGTTGTGCAGGTTTGATGTTAAGATGACAGCTTAATGAAAATATCAGAAAATGTCCCTTCTCCACCTCCTACCATCATGCCAACAAGCCTCCAGTAAAAATCACTGTGGAACGCAGCATAGAGAGATTCACTCTGGGGAGCAGAACAAAGGGAAGACTCAGAGTCAAGTGTGAAGATGAGAACAAAGTGTGTTGCCAAAAGTTTGATGCCTCTGTTGCCCTAAGAAGGAGAAGCTCCAATCCTGATAACTCAGCACAACAAACTTCTAACCCAGCCTAACTCCTGATTAGATTAACACAAATTTCACATTAAAGGTTTAGCAGAAGGAAGTAGGCATTTAAAAATGCAAAATATACAGGGTGGCCATAAAGACTAAACTATTTAAATTGCACATGAACTTTATGGACACCCTCTATGTATCTCAGTATCTACTGTATTATACAACATATTAAGCTTTTAGGCAAAAATCTCAGAGGCATATCAAGAGGTAAGAAGAAATACAATCTGATGTCACAAAGAAATCATCAGAATCAGAGATGACACAGATGTTTGGACTATCAGTCAGTCAAGGACTTTAAGTATGACATACATGTCAAAGGCACCAATGGAAAAAGTGTACGACGTGCAAGATCTCACAGGTAATTCATCAGTGAGACAGCAATTACAGGAAAGGATCAAATGGAAATGCAAGAAATAAAAAGCACAGTAACAGAAATGAAAGATGCCTTTGAAGGACTCACTAATAGACTCAATAGAGATTAGGACCAAATTAGTTACCATGAAGCCAGGCTGCTAGAAAGTCCTCAAGCTGCAATGCCAGGAGACCAGAGAAAAGAAAGAGAGCAAGCAGGTTATCCAGGGAGAGAACAACTGTGGACAATACCAGTCAAACATATTTGTAATAAGAATCCCAGAAGAAAAGAGACAAAGCAGCAGAAAAATTTGTGAAAAAAAAAATGCCTAAGAATAATCTCAATTTTGTGATAGACACCACACCACAGTGCCAAGAAGTTCAGAAAACACCAAGCAGGATAAACACTTAAAAAAAAAACAGGACATCTAGGTATATTATATTTAAGCTTGAGAACCAAAAATAAAGAGAAAATCTTGAAGGCAGCCGGAGGAAAAAAAATAGTGGATTTTCTCTGAGAAAACATGCCAGCAAGAAAAGACTGGAGTGAAATCTTTTTCTTTTTTTAATTAAGTCATCGCTGTGTACATTAATGCAGTCATGGGGTACAGTGTGCAGGTTTTATATACAATTTGAAATATTTTCATCAAACTGGTTAACATAGCCTTCATGGCATTTTCTTAGTTACTGTGTTAAGACATTTATATTTACATTTATTAAGTTTCACATGTACCCTTGTAAGATTCACCATAGGTGTCTTTAAAGTGTTGAATGAAAAACTGTCCCCTAGCATAGTGACATTTTCAGACACTGTACAAACTGGGAGAATTCATTACCGCAGGCTTCTTCTATAAGAAATGTTCACTTATCCAGCACACAAATGAAAAAAAAAGACCTGTAATATGAGTCAAAAACTACACAAAGAATCTACACACACACCCATAAAATGATGAGCTCTGGAAATAGAATAAGTGAAAGTAAAACATAATCTTTTAAAATTTGTTTTTTATTCCTCTAAAACAGGATTTGGTAAACTTTTTTTTTTTTTAATAGGGCCAAATAGTAACATATTTTCAGTTTGTGAATAGCACAGTTTCTTACCCAACTACTGAGTTAGGTCATTGCAGCACAAAAGTTCTTGCTACTTTTAGGTCTGGAAGGTCATGGAACTGTCAGGACACCTGCACAACATCTGTACTGAAAGGGACACAACCAACCTGAGCGTGAGCTGTCCTGTGAAGCCAGCCTGAGGCTTTGAGGACAGGCAGTTTGTGTGGGAGGCAAGGGAGGGTCAGGAAAGGGAGACAGACAGCCAAGCGTGTCTTACTACCAGGCCCTAATGAGCAGCGCCACTCCACAGAGCTTAGAAACCAAGGGGCTAATTAATCATTCCTTGCTGTTCTGCTCCTGTATTTTATGGGACTGATGGGCAATGAGGTGGTGAACTTTGTGGTTACTTCTTTGCAATGTTTTAATTCTTGTAAAGGAGTAACCACAGGCAGGAGAATGTTTCCAGTGTCATCCTAACAATAAAGCCTAAAATTGAATATACAATCTTAAGAAGCCCTGGGGTTCTAATACAATTGCTCATCACCACTCTGTTTGGTGGCAGTTGTGAGCAAAAGCTAAGCCCAGGGCTTACTTGGGATGACTCAACTTTATAATTTAGATTGCACAGCCAGGGCAAACTTATTTCAGATTCTACTGCCTTTTTCTTTTCTTTTCTTTACTTTTTTTTTTTTTTTTTTTGAGACAAAGTCTTACTCTAGCACCCTGACAAGAGTGCCGTGGCATTATAGCTCATAGCAACCTCAAGTTATCAGGCTCAAGTGATCCTCTTGCCTCAGTTTTCTCTATTTTTAGTAGAGACAGGGTCTCTTTATTGCTCATGCTTGTCTCGAACCCGTGAGCTCAAGCAATTCACCTGCCTTGGCCTCCCAGAGTGCTAGGATTATAGGCATGAGCCACTGCACCCTACCTGATTCTTCTACTTTTGAATGTTACCATTAAACAGGCTCCTTAAAGGTGCTGTGTCCTTGGAGCAGCTTAATAAAACTTAGAAACAAAAGCCATTGCTGTTTCTTATTATAAAATGAATATATACGTGAACTTAGAGTTCATAAAGATATACCGAGGGGTAAACAATTACAGTAAAACCTCTGTAAGTTGACCATCCAAGAGACTATAACAAACTGGTCAACATATGGAAGTGGTCAGCCTAAAGAACCTCCACTGAACACACACGGCACATGCCCAGTCAACTGAAGGAGGTGGTCAATGTGGGGAGGTGGTCAACTATAGAAGCTTAACTATACATTTGGCCCCACCACCCAGAGGTAACTATGAACAGTTTGCTCTATCCCGTTAAACATGATCATTTCTGCTTAGCCTTGTAATTTGTTTTACGTACACATGATCTGGCTGATCAGATCTAGACCTCTGTACCAACAGCAGCCAGATGAGCCAGATGATCTGGGACGTCAGATGTAGACCTCAGGGCTTCTCTGTTTCTCTCCTCTCTCCATTTTAGAACAATTAAAAAACTGTAGTCCTTTAGCAAAAAAATGGCTTCTTTACACAAACATCTTCAGACAGTAAGAATCACACAATAATGAGAAAATTCTGTTGATTAACTGAGTTAGACAACCGATGTCCACAGGATGTTTGGGTGCAGCCCCAGGGGGCCCCTTTCCCGTAGGCCTGAGCTGTGTGTCAGGGGAGCCACTTCCTCTCTGCACACAGCCCTCAGATTTGCTCTGGGATGAGATAACCCCATCCTTCCTCCACCTCCCTGGACAAGGGCTGGCAGGGTGCTATTCCTGCTGTGGGGAGTGTTGGTGCCCCCACCCCTCCTTTGGACTTGTAAGTTGTTTCCACCAAGGGACACCTCATCCACTGGAAGGGAGGTGACAGAAAGCATGGACATTCAAATCACATCACACTCAGATGGAACAAAGCTACATCATCATGCGAAGTCAGCTGAAGCGTTCTACAATCACCTCGAACTCTTCAGGAAGAAAATGTACACTCACATCCCAAGGTTTTCATTAATAGAAAAAAACCCCACTATTTTAATGAGCTTTAATGTTTTACCATTGTAAAAAATTCCAAACTTTCTGCTTTTGTTTTTCTCTTGGATATAATTGGAGACCTTGTCATAACACAACTTGTTAATCTCCATCACCAAGAAAAAAGTAAATACAGCATTTCTTGAACAAATAAAAACCAATATATTTAGGGCGGCACCTGTAGCTCAAAGGAGGAGGGCACTGGCCCCATATGCCAGAGTTGGTGGGTTCAAACCCAGCCCTGGCCAAAAACTGCCAAAAAAAAAGAAAAACCCAAAAAACCAATATGTTAAAGAAGAGTGTATCTGTGTGCTGGTACCAACAGAAGTCTGATCAGGCTCTAACACAAATTCTGTACATTTCCTCAAATGAAAATGTTTCATGGAAGAGACGTTAGTGAGGAAAGATAGGACACCAGGAAACAGCGGAGTGAGTTGTCCTGGAGCCTGGAACGTAGGGCCTTGGTGAGGGAGACAACACAGTAAGGTAGGTCTGATTACTGTGCCTGCTGGGATAAAAACACCACGTGGAACTATCTGCTGCAGCTGAACAAACCCCCTCCCACGCCTAGGCCACCCGCACACACACAGACCCCACCTTTCTATCCCCTGAGGGCCCTGGCTGCTGTCCATAGAGCTATCCGGTCTTGCACACGTGTCCTGCCAGGTCTGTGATGCTTCATGCAGTGAGGAAGTTTGTTGTCCTATCTCATCTCTCTGGAGCCTGGGCTGCTTTGGGGCTTGGAATGAAGGAAGGACGGAAAATACAAGGCCTTTTGGTGATACAGACCTGGGATTCACATCCCCACTGGGCCACTTGTCAACAGGGTGCTCTAGGAAAGAGTCTAGATTCCATTCTCCAACTTTAAGCTGGGGTGAGATCACCAGTCTCTCAGGGTTGCTGAGGACTAAATGAGGTCTCATGTATGAAAATGTCAACAATCAGTGTCCTTTCCTGTTCTGACTAAACCACTTCACTGAGCCTTCATGGCAGAAATGGTGATGCGTAGAACCTCTTCTGTAAAATCATGTCTTACAGTGCCCTCCAAAGAACAGTATAGTTTTAATTCTGAAAAACTAAGAATTACAAGTGGGAAAAGAGTGGAGAGTAATGAACAAAAAGATTTTTTCATCTGAAATTTTGTTTCATTTACAATAGGGAATAACACCACAGTGTCTACAGTAGTAATTACTCTCACAGTTCATATTTATCAAACGGAACGTGAGGCAAATTAAATGATCTATACAGTGCATGAAAAGCTTGTAGAATTTTTTATCTCACTTGTTTCTCTATACAGTAATGATACTTTTCTCCCCGTACTCATGACAGCTGGGCATAGCTGCCCACAAGTCTTACACAATGTGGTGAAAAATATATAACTCAGAGTGAAAAGGACATCAAGGACAGGCATGTTTGAAGCAAGTTAGTAAAGTGGGAGGAAATTTCTATAAAGAGGAAGTTAACATTGACAGTCTTTGTAGCGAGATGTTTTGGAATCTGATAGATCCTTTACACCAAGAATGTGGTAACGCTGCAGCTCATCTCACTGTGAAGGATTTCCATTGGTTCTAAAACAAAGCTCCCCGCCAGCCTGGCTGCTCTGTCCCCCAGGGCAAGGGCTGCCACTCTATCTTTGATTCTGATCTGCGCTCCCTCGCAGAGTTTATTCCTGTTAGCCACCGGCAATGCCAACCCTATGGGTTTTTCTTGTGTCTTTGGCTGGGGTTTGTAGGTTGACTTTACTCCTCTCTCTTCCTTTTATTATTTTTGTGTTCTGAGTCAACTGTTTTTAGTACCTCTGATTTGTCTTCCTTGCTTTTCAGATGGAGACGCCAAAATGAGAATATCTCAGGATCAACTCTCCTCTACCCGTGGACCAGACAGAACAGTGCACATTAGCTGCAAGCTGTCTGGAGTTCCCCTCAAGGACACCATTGTGCACTGGTACCAACAAAAAGAAGGGGAGCCCCCGAGAAGAATCCTTTATGGCTCCGCCAAGAATTATAAGCAAGATATACCCAATTCCCGCATGGAGACTGATGAGAAAGATAATGGTGTCTTTTACCTTATAATTAATAATGTCGTCAAGTCAGATGAAGCCACCTACTACTGTGCCTGCTGGGATCTCACGGTGCCACAGAGCCAGGAGGAACCTGTAAGAAAACCTTCCTACCATGACCCCTCAACTGTTCTCATACGTGTCCAACCACAACAGACCATTGCAAGCTTTTATTCACAGGTTCATAGGCTGTTGGGACAGGGAGGGCCCTTGGGACACATTGAGCCCAATGTTCCCACTTCAAATGAGGACCAGAGATGGCAGGTGATATGTCCTAAGCTAGTCAACCACAGAAGTAGGACCACACATCTGCCTTCAGAGTCTCCGTCCAGAACCTCTTCCTGCCTTTCTTGTGGTCAGTGTGAACTTCTCATATTAGCAAAATCACGTTTCTTTCCAAAGGGGCTGTGACAACTCTGGGTTGTCTTCCTCAGTGACATCCCAGGCCCCGGCCAAGTTTGATCTAGGCCACGTATGGGACAGACACACTGCTGAGAAGGGGAAGGACTCCACGCTTCATCCCCCTGCATGTTGTATCCCCCCCATGGCTACTTACCACCGTTTATTTCTGTAGCTTTCTATCAGTTCTGAAATCCCTTATCATTGGAACAGTTTCCCTAGCATACCCATCAAACACACAGGGATGTGCGAGGTGAGTTTCTTTAGGAATAGACTGGTGTCATTAGGAATAGATTTTCAAATTCTTTGCTGTTTGGAGAAGGACCTGCTCAATCAAGGTCTAAATTCCCTACCCTTCACCCTGAAATCTGAGCAATCCTAAATGGATGGGTATGCACTTGGCTTAAATTTAGTAGCCCTGACCTGCTTTCTCCTTGTTACAGTGACCCAGGACATTTTCCTGTCCAAGGTCTTCCCAGTCACACCTTGAACAGTAATAATAATGTCTATACCATTACATTATAGATAAATACTTCATAAGTGTCTAATAAGTAGCCCTCAAAATTTATAAATTCCAATTCTTCTCCTTCACCCTAATCTCCACAACATGCATTAGTTTTCTCCCCAGGCTGTTACAGTAAATGGCGATGGCACACTATGTTGTTTGACACAATGGCAAGGCAATATTTCAAGCAGATCATGTTTTCTTGACGTTGCTCATTTTTATTTCACTTGTTCTGGTAATGACAGAAAAAGAGATGAGGAAACCCAAATAGCTCCTATGATAGGAGATCAGAAAGGAGGTGACAGGAAGGTTCAAAACTGTGGTTTCACCTGCCAGAAAATCCACCACAAAGCAGCCCCAATCCTGTGTGGCTGTGCCTCAGACTGGGGGTGGCTGTGCAGCCAGAGCCCCCAAGCCAAACCATATGGATCCCTGCCCAGGACGCCACTCCTCTCTCTAATCTACTGTTTAGGTATTCATTATGTTCCCTCCTGGGAAATAGGCAAGGCATGACAGCAAGAATGCCCCAATTATAATTCTGAAGTGCATGGGCCAAATGTTCACCTAGATGGTATAGTCTCCTAGTGTTACTCAAAGACCAGTGAAAAGAAGGTGATGTGTGGAATTTAATTGGAGGTTGAGGTTACAGTGGACCCAGTGCTCTCAGATTATTTTTCTGTGTGCTTGTACTGACTGCCCATTGCTTTTTAGAATATGCAAATCCACCATTTCATCTACTTTTTATTTAGTTTGATATTTCCTAAGATTATCAGAAAGCAACACACAATATCTTAAATTCAGCTACTCAAGACACAAATTCTCTAGATTATATGGAACTGAAATATACCTTGGAACTGAGTTCCTGCCAGACACATCTGTCCCTTAACACCCAACTCATGGGAAGAAGTTGAATGAACTGAGTTTGGGATCTTGCAAACTTGAACTCAAATTCAAGCTAAATTTGAACTTCCTAATTCTGTTTTCCCATATGACTTTCAATGGCAGTAATTATTCATAGGTAAAGGTAAAAGAGATAAATGTGTGGATAATGCCTGATTCATGGTGGACCCTGAGTATATTTATGAGTTTTCTGCCCTCTCCTTACAAGCGATCACAGGAACACATTACCATCCTGGAGAAGGAAGACAGGAAATGGAAAGGAGATTTGGAGCTGAAGGTAGAGTGTTAACTCCCCAAGAGAGATTCTTTCCTACACAAGTGCCTCTCATGCACACCTGTTCAGAACAAACATTTCTTCTTTGCCAAAAAGAATCAAGTACTTCATCACTCATGTGTGCCTGTGGGTTGTGTGTCAATCAAGAAGTATCTGTAACATACACAGGGCATGTCAAAGAAGTGTCAAAGTGTCAAAGAAGCCCTGAAAAACTAGAAGCTCATCAAGTTTAGAATGAAGACAGATGGCAAAATTGCTGAAGGGGATAATCTGCTTGAAAATACAATGACTTGGTTTCTCTCTAACACTGCCTCTGAGCTTTTATAAACAAGTAGGCCCAGTATTTTCAAAATATCCATTGTACTATATACATGTAGGAACTCATCTGATATCATTCGAGTGATGACAAATGTGAAATTAAAATTTTGTCTAACTCTGAAAGCTGATGGTTTATATATTAAGTCAGTATGTAACTTTTATCTCTTGTACATTAAATTTATTTTGTTTCAAACAGTAGTCTGACCATTTTTCATATTGGAAGTCTATTAACTTACTTATGTACTAGATGTAATTGAAAAGTACAAAAATTCTAGAAAATAAACCAATGTGAAACAAGTATGCAGAGTATTATTTTGTTTTATGATGGCAAGCAACCTCTGAAATGAGATGGGAAACAAGCTATGTCTTTATATCTTTTGATCATGTAACAATTTTTGTAGCCTTCACTCTGAAGGTTATTGTTAAACTTGAAAAAGTAATGTAAAATTTCAAGCAATTTTCTTGGAATTTATACCTTACTCGTATCTCACTTTGTTTGAAGTAGGATTTAAGTTGCCTCAGTTGGTCATCTCGGGACATGGTGAGAAGGTTACTACCTGTGTTACATGACACAGGTGAGGAGAAAATCTCTGTACACAAGACTAAGATGATTCCATTCTTCCATAGGAAGTAAACTTTCTGTGCTTGAATTTTTGCATCAATGATAAGACAAAATTAACCATGTTTGAGTATGTACTGTGTCCTAGACGCTATTCTATATATTTATCAAAAGTTTTGAGAAATAGACATAATCACTGCCCTCTAAAAGAAGAGCAAACCGAGGCTCTGGGAAGTGTGTGTACCCAAGGACACATCACCAGAAGTGGAAAAACTCCAATCTGAACCTCATCTTTCTGATTTTAAAGTGCTTTTCTCCTTCACTCCCCACCTCCTGAGGTGGTGATCTGATTGCATTCATGAGAATTGTCTTCAAACTCTAACAAATACACCTGTTAAGTTTGTTGCTGCAGCTGCTCTGCCCATCTCTGTCGTCATGACAACAACATGGGTCCTTGATGGCCTCTTGCTGGGAAACCTGTCTTCTTCCCTGGAACCTCTCCCTGAGCTGCCCCTTTCTTCCTGCTCATACATTATCTTCATAAAGGGCAGGGCTGGTCATGTCACTCTCCTCCCTAAATCCTTCACTAAATCCTTGTTGTCCAGTCTTTCAAAAATTTTCATTGAAAATTTACAGTGAAAACACCATAAAAAGAAAAACAATCCAAATTCTTACTTCTTACAAATCCGTGTGTTCACTTTCTCCTACCCCATTCCCATTATGTGCTCCTCTACCTTGAGGGTACAATTATCCTCCTAAACAATCTAGCCATACGTAGCTTTGTAATTTTAATTTTAATCTACTTGGGTCCTACTCTATAGGACACAAGTAGAGCAATATTTTTATTTTTTCAACAGATAATCGTAGTCCAAATGCCAGTTTTAAAATATTCTATCATTTCTCTATAACTTAAAAATTCTGCAGCCTATGTTAAATATCCATGTATACCTAAAACTTTCTGGAGGATTTCTGTTTTATCCATTTCATTGTTCCTACCCCAGCCTCAGTAACATCACAGTATTAAGGTCTGCTATGCCAAATGTCTATTTACTTTACTATTTTTCAAAACATTATTTTTCAATTTTCTTATAGTGTTTTTCTTTCTTTAAAGTCAACTTATCGGCTCGGCGCCTATAGCTCAACCGGCTAAGGCGCCAGCCACGTACACCTAAGGTGGCAGGTTCGAATCCCCAGCCCGGATGCCAAACAACAATGACGGCTGCAACCAAAAAATAGCGGGGCATTGTGGCGGGCACCTGTGGTCCCAGCTACTTGGGAGGCGGAGGCAGGAGACTCGCTTGAGCCCAGGAGTTGGAGGTTGCTGTGAGCTATAATGCCACGGCACTCTGCCCAGGGGGACAGCTTGAGGCTCTGTCTCAAAAAAAAAAAAATAAAGTCAACTTATCCAGCACATTGTTAGCCCTCAGATCCTAACAGAAGTGACCAACCTCAACCCATGGGATACACGAGGATTATGTGAAGACTTTTCTCCTTATCTGTGCTGGTAGATATCACAAAAATTATGCATGGACCTATTATTATTATTATTATTTTATTTTTTTTTTTGCTAACCAGCTTTCATTAGTGTTTGTGCATTTAATGTGTGGCCCAAGACACAACTCTTCTGATGTTGTGATGGTGTAAAGCCAAAAGGCTGGACAACCTTGCTAGAACTAAATAAATAAATAAATAAATAAAATGTTGTAATTTTCATTGGAATTGCAGTATGTTTACATATGAGTTAGGCGGTATTGGTCTCTTTAGGATAGTAGCTTTTTCTTCATGAGGACATCTCTCCACTTATTCAGGTTTTATTTTAATGCCTCCAGTAAAACTGAGTATTGTGGTTTTCATATAGATTTTATATTTTCTTGTAAATTTAATAAAATATTTTATCATTTATTATTTATTCTTTTGCATTTTATTAGGAGTCCTCCATAGCTCTTGAAATATATAGAGAGACAACTCCTAAGACTTCCGATAATTCTCATGGAATAAGGAAAAAAAAAGGATAAAAGGGGACTCAGTGGGCATCATTCCATCTATAATAGGTGTACAGAGTAATTGACAGCTCCAAGTAATAATTAATTCGAATTCTCAGCTGAAAAAAAAAAGCCCTTTCCAAACATGATTTCTGTGAAGGCCTGTAACGCTTTCCGATTGCCCTGGGGGCTAGGAGCACCGGTGGGCACTCAGTTGCCCATTGTGAGCACAGTCACACCTTCATCCTTGGGAACTGAGATGCCCGTGGGAGGTAGGCTGGAACAGGGTGGATCTGGCATGGTCAGGGGGTCATCAGGCCCTGTCCTCAGTCCTTGAAAACAGACCCATCATCTGCACTCAGGGAAGCCCTCAGCTGACTCTGGATGGAGATTGCAGAGCAGCCTCCAAGAGGCTCTTCCTTCCACATGTCAGAGAACTGGATTTTTTTATCCTGATAAAATATAAACAAGGAATCTATTATTTCAGGGAAGATAGAACTCTACAAATATCTTCTGTTATTCCAAGAAAAATAATGAGTTTTGATTGCCCAAGTTACCAAATGGTAAAAGAGGCTTTTAAAAATGGAGACGTTTGTTCACGCTTCTCAAGTACATCTGTGCTCTCACAGTTGCATTTCAGTTATTCAAGTGCTTCCTCCTTTCAGAAATATTTTCCCAAATTACTAATGTAGAAGCCCTGGTGTTGGTGAGAACAGAGGGCCTTTACTTTGATGCAGTCTCTGAGCAGTTTCAACACACTTGAATACCTGGAAATAAAAAATGTAAAAAAAAAAAAAAAAGACTTAACTCTATGAATATTTTTTCTGGTAATTTATAAAAGTAGCAGTTGACCAGCTGGGCTTGTCCTCTTCTCCTTTGCTTACCTTTTATATTTTCTGTTGGAGCTTTTCAAGAACTACTGACTTAGAGGAAAACAGGCAGTTTATGAGGTCAATATTCAAGGAGAAACTACGAACTATCAGAAGCCACCAAAGCTATGTTCAAGAACTTTCACCACAGCCCAGGAGATCAAATCACCAGTACGAAGTTGTTGAACTTCTGGTCACAACATGAAGATTCAGAGAAGGCTGGGATTTTTGTAGAAGCTGTGACTAGTGTGATAGGGATGGCTGGATCAAGATATTTGGAGAGGGGACTAAGGTCATCGTAACTTCCCCTGGTAAGTAAAACTTTTTTCCTATTTTTACTTTAGTAATGACAAACTGATAAATAATTTTTAGATAATCAATCTTTTCTAACTCTGCCACAATTCTCTTTCTGGTCTCAGTATGTAAACAGAAAAAATTTGTAGGTACAAACCACTGGGTATCAGAACAGAATGGTTTTTTAAATGATTTCTTCCCTTAACCTGGGGGCGAGCAGATCAAAATTCTACTTTTCACATACACACAAACACACACACATACAGAAGGTAGACTCGGGGTAGAACTTAAAATTTTTTTTTAATTAAATCATAGCTGTGTACATTAATGCAATCATGGGGTACAATGTGCTGGTTTTACATACAATTTGAAATGCTTTCATCAAGCTGGTCAACGTAACCTTCACCGCATTTTCTTAGTTATTGTGTTTTAAGGACCACATCTATAAACCACTGATGTAAGTTATTGATCCAAGATACTTTTCTTGTAGGTCTTTTAAGTGAGAGATGTCAAAACAGAATTTTGTTAATTACCTCTTCGCTTTATTTTGAGTATAACATAAAGTTATTTCCCTTGGTGACCTGCAAAACGTATATTATTTCTTGTGATCTCACGTCTAGCAACAGTGCAAAAAACTAATTCTTACAGTAAATTAATGTAGGAGATCAATATGTGTACTTATGATTGCTCCATCAGGGGAATTCATACTATTGTGGCTCTTGTTATGCTGCCTGGAGATGCCTGAGTTTAACAGAATTTGCAAGTACCAACTCAATGAGACATTTCTTCTCCAAAGTCAATGAAAAGAGTCTTCATGGCTTTACATATTTATTTGTTTATTCATTCTCTAAGAAAACCTTGGAAAACAGTTTTTGTCCTGGATGCTAGAGATAAAGTGGTAAATAAGATACATTCTCATTACTCAGAAGCTGCCAGTCTACTGAATAAGTGTTCTAGATGGTTCTGCTTTGACTGGGCCCTGCCTTTGTTCTTTGTCCTGTGGTTGCTACAGAAGCAGAAGGTCTTGGGTTCATGAGCTTGTGTCCTTCCTTTGTGTAGCAGTTTTGCTTGTAAAATTGCCTATGAAAGCTACGGGTTTAGTGTTTGAGGGAAGAATTTCATGAGATAGCTCAATGTTATCCCCTCAAAGAGGGAATTTATCTTAGCTATTGTTTATTGAGATGCAGACACCATGCTGAATAGTTTTGGTGCCTTCTCTCATCCCTCAGCAGCTGTACATAGGAGTTCCTCTTACTCCCATTTCACAGATAGGAAAAATGAGGCTTAGAAAAGTTCAGGTACTTTCCTAGTCATATGACTAGTCACTGTGGCAAAGTCTATTCCAAAGTGCATGGTCTGGATCATTATGTGATATTTGGAAACAAGTCATGAGTTTATATTCTATTTTCTGTTCTGGGGCCTGACCTTTAACTCTCGGATTAGTAAAAGTTCACAGTATGCATTATTGCTTATAAACGAACAATGCTTCTATTTCTAATTATTGATATAGGTATCACATATGCAGAAATACTGATGCTTGTAAAGGAGCTATTGCAGCTGTTCTAAATTATATTAATAAATGGCTGACTCAGAGCTGCCTAGGATCCTGTGATGAGCCCCTTAGGATTTCAGTTCAATGCTTTGAAACTGTCTTTTATCTTGTCTACCATCAGTGGGAAGTGACCCACTGTGGACTGTGATTTGACAAAGAAGTTCCTTTAAAATCAATCCAGACACTCATTCTTCCGCCAATATGAATCACAAAAAACCATAAAAGTCATATTGATTACACATTTATTAAATGTTCAAACATGAGCACCCTATTATTTCCCTTTGAAAACGGGGTAAATATCAAATTACTGCAAATTATATTCTAGACAAAGAACCGATTTCACATGTGAAAACCTTTTAAGGAAGGAGACTTATAAAATTCTGACAAAATCACGAGAAAAAAATAACTCAGACTCTTCAACCTGTGTGATGGAAGAACGGAACAGATAAAATCCTGACTTCCCAGGCAAAGTGTGATCAGCTTTTAAATTCATGGTTACATGCAGATCCATTGTGATTTTGTTTGAGTTGTGTCTTGGTTTAATGACATCAGAGACAATTTTATGAATTTACATAAATATTGAAAAAATATCAGTGCAATTTAAGGACAAGCACAAGGAGATTTTGGTAAAGGCTTTTCAGGTGGTGGGTAAACAGCTGGGAGAAGTAGCAAGGTGTTCGGCCCCGGCACGACACTCATCGTCACAGGTATGTTCTCTGTAGTTCTGCAGCGTAAAGTAGGGAGGGAGGCAGGCACGAGGGTGCGGGTCAGAGGTCCCTCCTGCCTTGGTCACTGATCACGGAGGATCTCCAGAGAGATGGGCTGACTCAACTCAGGCCTTGGGAGCCTGGACTCTACTGTGGGAGACCTTAGCAGGGACCTCACAGTCTGCAGATCTCCAAAGATTGGGACTTTGCAACATATTCGGGTCTCTCTGTTGAAAGTTTTGTAAATAAAGTTAGGCCATATAGTTTATTTTTTCAATTCTAAAAATAACCAATGGAAAAAAATTTAAAAAAAAGTATCTTCTAAACTTGTCATGTGGTCACAGAAAGATTAAATATTTAGGGTTTGGTTACAGGATGTTCATATTAAATGCCTTAGTATCTCACTGTGTGGGAGCTTTTACAAAGTTGGGATAGTACTGGAGTGATAAAAATGGGTCTGGCCTTTTTCACTTAGCACTACTACTTTATGAACATTCTTTCTAAACGTCCCTAGGACTAGTCAATAAGTGAGCAAGTGTTTGAAGTTCTAATTTCTAGTTGAGCTGTACAACAAAGATAAAGAAGATTGTTGTCTCGAGTGGATATTGCAAGAATTAAATGAAGCTAACTATGGAAGTTACCTAACACAATGGCATTTGGTAGGTGATAGAAACATTAATTCCTTCTCTAGAATTCGAATTACCAAACTTTTGACACCCTTGATAAACACAGGATATAGATAAATGGACTAACCACTGTCTGATTGACAGCTTGAGTCAGAACAAATGTCACTATTTGCAAAATGCTATTTCTAAAACTAGTTGTACCTGCTTCTAAAAATAATTTGAATGTAATATGCATTACCTCAAATATTATCAGTCTGAATACAAAGCAATTCTTCATTTTTCAGGAGAAATACCTGGAAGTTTAAAAAAATATTTTCCTCAACTTGAATAAATAAATTTAGAGAAATATAGATTAATCAGCCAAGCATCTACTTATATTTGATTTCACAATTGATTTGTACCTACAAAGTTAAGAATTTTTTCAATACAAATATAAGTTGAGAAATATGGCTTTCTTGGTCCTTATATTTAGTTAATGATTTTGTTCAGATTCTTCACATGCATCTAAATTATTTACCTTAGAGCAACTTTTTAAGTCATCTCAGGTCTGAGTGTCTATTCTGGAATCCCTGTATGATGGTATCCCTTGATATTTTATCCCAGGAAAAAATTATCGACTTGCAAAATAAAAAGAAAGCATTTTCACATTTATTCCATTATTCTATATAGGTGCAAAGTACAAACTGCAGAGACCTTAGCCCCAAGAAATAATTACAAATCCATTTTACATTTCTTTCCTTTTTTTTCTTTTACCAGTGCTACCAGTGTTATCTCCCAAACTAGCATTATGTGAGTTCATTCATTTCATGTCGGTATCTTCTCCATGTAGCATTTTGGATCAAACCTGAGTGATAAGAGTATCTGTTAACATAAGAGGTTACACAGAGACGGTACCATATGGCAACCCCTTGTTGTGAGGGATCATTTTGGGAAAGCCTCATTCTATGCTCTGGCATTTTCGGCCTGTTGAAATTGGCATGTCTCTGTCTCTACCTCAGAGCTGGGGTTGCAATGCTATTCTCCATCCCTCTGTCTTATTTGAGCTGGACTTCACAGAACAATCAACCTCTGGGGCCGAAAGAGAAACAGGCTATAACACACAGCCACTTCTCACTTATTTAAGCTACCTACTTCCCAACTCTATTTGAGAAGACCTAAAATAAAAAAACACAATTATAGTTAAAATACTAAATAAAGATAGAAGATCAAAAGCTTAATAAAAAAGAGCAGAAAAAAGGACTGTGATTATCCAGCAGAGTAAAATTTTGTGCTCCAAGGTAGGACAAAATGACAATGGAATACAAACTTTTTATTAACTTATAAAAAGAAGCACACCAAGGTTTCAAATATGAAATTTTTTCCTTTTATAAAATTAGAAAAAGAGCTCAATGCATGCATTTTTTTTAGGAGGAAAGCAAAAGTGGACATCTATTTTGGAAAATGGAAGAAATGTTTTTTAAGCAAATTTATTGTTTAGTACTCCTGCGTGAGTACTATGGGCATTGTAGCATTTAATATCATATCATAAACAACTGGGGACACCCAGCAGCTATGGTCAGGCAAATAACAATTAGTGATCTAAGGTGACAACAGGAAGATGGATTTGAGGACTGGGCTTCCTGCTACTGCTGAGATGTTTCTGCCGGGAAGGGCCCAGGCAAGAGTTTCAAAATGGACTTTGGCACGAGCTGGATAGAAATCAGTTTGGGCTGAAATTTCTAGTGAAAGCGCGAAATGTACATACGTTATGCTGTTGATGAGGAAGAGAGCCATTTGTTCTGGAAGATGTAAGTGAAGAATTGTATACTGAGTGAGGATATTAGACTTTCAGGGGTGCTCCTTTAAGTCTTAACAGGGCAGGTTAGACAAACAATGGCCGATTAAGAGTCTGGGGACCCGCCAAACAACAATGACGGCTGCAACCAAAAAATAGCCGGGCGTTGTGGCGGGTGCCTGTGGTCCCAGCTACTTGGGAGGCTGAGGCAGGAGACTCGCTTGAGCCCAGGAGTTGGAGGTTGCTGTGAGCTGTAATGCCAGGGCACTCTACCCAGGGGAACAGCTTGAGGCTCTGAAAAAAAGAAAGAAAGAAAAAAAGAAAAAAAAAAAAAGAGTCTGGGTGTCTGAAAGACATGTTTCTAAGACAGCAGGTTTAAGAATCTCAGGGCTATTAGAGCAAAACAGAAAGCAAAACGAGGAACCCAGAAATGATTCTTCCTGCTAATTTCCATGGATCGAATTGCACCTCTAAAGAGCTAAATATCTATTATAATAGTGAGAGATTTGGGCCTACAAGATTAAAATGTCATGTTGTAATTCAATCATAGCAACCAAATCACTAATAATAACAATAATGATCACCATAATAATAATGATGTCTTATATATCTACTCAATTTTTAAGCAAATTTCCCTTTATGTCTTTTTCTTTTTTTTAAGGCGTTTTAGGAGACGTGATCTCGCTGTTGCTCAGGCTGGTCTTGAACTCCTGAGATCAAGCGATCCACCTGCCTCAGCCTCTCAGAGTGCTAGGATTACAGGTGTGAGCCACCACACCTGGCCTTTTTTATGTCTCATCAAATTTTGGTTTCACTTCAGTGCTGGTAGTGATGTTAAATTAAGTTACACACAAATCATTGTTTTACATAAATAAACACAAAAAACTTTAAGCTATTTGATTTGCTCAGTGATAGAACTTGTTACAAGCCAAGTGAACCAGGACCAGGACCCTGGTCACCTGAGACTCCCAGGCCATTCACTAAGATTTAAACTAGTCCACAGTTTTTGATATGGATTGAATCACTGTGGGACAGCGGCAAGGTACTCTTCGGTAGTGGAACAAAACTTGTTGTCACAGGTAGGTACCTGAAGAATATACTATTTCTAAAGAGAAAGAGGGGAGGTCAGAAATGATTAAACTGGAATAACAGGATGTTTAGGAAAAGGTGGAAAGTGGTGGGCATTTGATGTGGATATCTTAGGAGAGATTTTAAAACAAATGCTTTTAATAAAAGAAAATAGACAACGTTATGCAAATATTGTAATAGGATTTAGCTTTGACCTGTGGACTCTCTTAACACACTCACATACAAGGTATGTGATGATATCATTGAAGTGTTTGGGCAAGGTTTAGTATTGCAGGTAAGTTAGTGATAGATGCAAAAGGGTGGAACACTTGTTCTTCTCTGCTGGTCAGAGGTATCAGGAACTAGTCTGGGCGATGGAGTCAGGCAGACCTGTTACTAAGGCTCCAGCACTTACTGCTTAGTTAACTTTTTCTCTGGCCTCAGTTTTCTAAACTATACAATGGGAAAACAGTGTGAACCCAGCAGGGGTGTATGAGAATTGAATGAGATAGTGTAAATAAGGTGGCACATCGTTCAGCACATAGTAGGTGCCCAACAAATGTTCTCCAGAATCAAATGTAAGGTGAGAATTGTACCAGATATCCCGGATAGAGAGTTGCTCTCAGCCAGTTACATTTACAGAGCAGAAATTCTCCCGAGGATTCAGATGTATTTCTACCTGCTCACATGAAAGGTTATCTTAGCATCCACTCACATACAAAAAAAAAAAAAAAAAAATGGAATTTAGGCTGGGCATGATGGCTCACTTTTATAACCCAGCACTTTGGGAGGCAGCAGGGGGAGTATAACTTGAGGCCAGGAGATCAAGACCCGCAGGGCTACTAGCAGTAACCCATCTCTAAAAAAAAAAATGGGCATTTAGAGTCTGTATTTCTTGCTCTTTAGTAGACTTTTTCATTACATGAAAAGTTACATTAATATTTTTCCTTTTTATTTTTGTTGTTCTACGTGCTTTAAACCTTAATCCTTTGTCTTAATTGATACCATCTCTAACACCAAAATTTATTGATTCTAAAATTTATAGTCAATAAATTTAGGCTTCTGGTCACATTAATCAGGAAAAAAAGTTTAAATTCATACAGAAAATGGTCAATATATAAAATCAATTAAATACATTGGAAACTGTCATACATGTTTAAAAATTAAATAGCTACATCTATTTATTTGATGAAAGAAAAAATAACACACACAAATACCCATATGTAGATTTAAAATATCATGTTTTCAATTGAGAAAAATATAGTTCATGTTTGGTAAAATCAATGGAATGTATACTGCCTCCTTTTAATAAGAAAATCGAAACAACTTAAGCACTTTAACTCACATCCACTATTTTATTATGCAAATAAACATACATAAATAAACTGGAGAAGTTTATATTCTTAAATAAATAAAATAGATGAATTTTATTCATTATCCAAGTAGAGTGTTTGTCATTCTACGCATGAAGAAAATTTTAACCATGAAAAACATTCCTAAGAAGCATATTTTAATAGTAATGTTTTAAAAAATTGTGTAATGTCATGGTCCAGAATATAGGCATTAACCATATTTAATCAAGTCTGTTATTTAAGGTTTAGTCAACTATTACATTGAGAAAGGTATGAAAGTTTAGATTTATTTCATACTGGAGCAAAAGAAACAAAGAATCTAGCTAAGGAAAAAGGACAAGAGCATTGAATGCTGTGGGACCTCACAGGAAATTTCCATATTTATTATTTGATTTTCAGTGTCTTTACTACAAGGACAATAAAATCAAAAGTTTTCCCAAAAAGAAACACAAGTTACTAAGATAAAAGTTGAATTTGTTATATTGGCTAGAGACTAAAGTTACATAAATGTAATGTACAATTGAAAAATTAATCTTATTTTTTATACCTACTTTTTAAATAAGAACAAAGTATGTGGTTGAAGAAATATATACTGTCTTACCACTGTAATAAAACACTATCTACCCTAAAGGCAAAATATATAAAATTAAACATATTATGACCTAATTATATTTAAAGCATGTACCAATAATTAATATTACTGTATTTGTTTACTGATTTTGTATAAAAACCAGAAGCTTTGCTATACAGACGTAAACCTTTAAGAATTTTTTTCCCTTTTCTTCTCAAATGAGAAATTCAGTTATTTTTTTCTTAAGAAATTGCCTCTTGTATTATTAAACTAACTTCAAATTAGCCCAAAGCATTTGAGCTTCAATTGGAAATCAATTTAGAAAGAGTTCAAATATTTACAATTTCAGATATTAGATTAAAAATAAAGGTATAATCAACTAAGATTCCAGATCCAAGGGCTGTGTCTTTTTATAATAGGGGGCTTTACAAAGGGGCTCTGGAGCCTTAACTTTTAACATTGCACTATTACATGTAATCTTTATTCAGCAGGTTAAGACTAAGAGAATAATGGAGCTCCAACACAGTTAAATAAAATACAGGTAGATAAATGAATTCGAGCAGAAACACTGAGAGTCAAAATATAGATATATGGATATACATAGATCATCTCACTTATGCTGTAAATTTATATTAAAGCAAGGATAAGAGATATACCCCTGGTGTATTCTTAGTCATGTTTAAACTTCAAATGAAATTCTAAAATACATTGCACTTTCTGTGAACGTTTTCTGAAGCAAATCAAAATTTTGATAAGTGTGTTATTTGAAAAGATTAACACAAGAGCGATTCTGAAAATAATAAATACCAATTTTAAGAGAAGTTTGGGAAATATTATTACTTTGCTTCTAAATTCAAGACATCATGAATAATTTGGAAGTGCAGCTTTAAGTACTGCTCCATCCCAAAACCTGGAGTGATGCAGGTGTGAGGGTGAGATGTTATATCAAGTTAGGAATTAACTAGGAGAACTCCATGAACTTCAGAACTGGTCATGGGACACACATGTGAAGCTAAATAGTCAACCTGATAGATCGTAATTCCACTTGGAAGTAGATTCCTATTAAAACAAGCAATTATGTTATAAATAAAAATGAAAAACTTCCTCCTTTACATTAATTTATAGGGGATATAAATATGCATCCCAGAATCAGTTAAATGAAAAGTGGGATTACACAGAACTGCAGAACACGAGAATGTGTGTTAGTGGCAAAAAAAAAGAACTTAAGTTACAAAGGATAGGAAGGAAAGTACTTTAGACGGGACCAGATTCTCATTTGTAGAGAGATCCTTCAAGATGCCTGGTCTCCTACCCTGTCCCCTGTCATCTACCTTAAGTGCATACTCCACTATAATGAAACAAAAGAGATTTCAACAAATTCGTGTATTTATGGATGTTGGAAGCCTTGCTCTGAGGCATAAAAATCAGACTCCGTCACAGTCACAGCAGGTGCGGAATGAACAAAGGCCAGGATTGAGTCCAGGATCTGACACTTGTGGGCTTTCACTTTTGGCAGGTTACTGACTTTTCCGATCCTATTTTCACATCTGTAAAGTAAGCACAATAACATCTGTGCAATCTATTGCAGATGAAAGGACATGGCGGGTGCTAATTCAAAGGAACTTTTCTTCCTCTTGTTGGGAACCAAGTTGTCCCAAAGCATGGAATGTGTGTGTTTTCTAATAATCCTTTTTATCTGGTTATTCCATTTCTCCCTCACAGATCAGAACTTCGATGAAGTTGTTGCCCCCAAGCCCACTATTTTTCTTCCTTCACTCGCTGAAACAACTCTTCATAATGCCGGGACCTATCTTTGTCTTCTTGAAAATTTTGTCCCTGATGTTATTAAGGTATATTGGAAAGAAAAGAATAGCGATAAGATTCTGGAATCCCAGCAGGGCGATACCAGGAAGGCTGTTGACGGATACATGAAATTTAGCTGGCTGACTGTGCCTGAAATGTCACTACAGAAAGAGCACCAGTGTGTCGTCAAACACGAGAGTTATAAAGGAGCCAATCAGGAGATTCTCTTTCCTCCAATAAAGCCAGGTATGTGTGCATGAATAGAAACGCACCTCCCAGAATACTTCTCTGAGAGGAAACACCCCACTTTTACTGACAGTGTTAATGACAAAGAAATATAATTTTTTTGTAAATGCTGTTACATTTAAGAACAACATAAACGGCTCGGCGCCTGTGGCTCAAGCGGCTAAGGCGCCAGCCACATACACCTAAGGTGGCAGGTTCAAATCCAGCCCAGGCCCACCAAACAACAATGATGGCTGCAACCAAAAAATGGCCAGGCGTTGTGGCGGGCGCCTGTAGTCCCAGCTACTTGGGAGGCTGAGGCAGGAGACTCACTTGAGCCCAGGAGTTGGAGGTTGCTGTGAGTGTGATGCCATGGCACTCTACCCAGGGGGACAGCTTGAGGCTCCGTCTCAAAAAAAAAAAAAAAAAAAAAAAAAAAAAAAAAAGAACAACATAAACGTCCTGCTATTTCCCTGTAGGATTAAAACGAATATTTACTTAAAATTTTCAGGCCTCGGTCGGATCATCTAAAATATCAAATTTATGTGATTTTTTAAGGAGTGTTACATGGATTAAATGAATCAGCATGCATGAAAGCACCAAGCGAACTAAGACATGATAAGTGCTCAAACATAGTTCTGTTTTTGATGACTGGACTTTATGGGAAATAAGAACATTTACATGTCTTTCAGGAATGTTCTATAGGCAAGCAAAGTCACTCACTTCAATCTTGCTATATATAAAGTTTAACCTACAGACAATGAGTTCGTAATAGACAAAATTGTGTCCACATGAAGAAGCCAGAGCTTAGCTCATCCAAAAATAGGATAACTTTGGTTGCTGTGGTTTACGACCTTGGGTTTCCTGATTTTTATTTTATACAGCACCGTGAGGTAAATTGTCATAATTAAGGACTGCTGCGGCTAACGTGCACACACACGCTTCCATTCTCTGTAATGAACATGTTACTTTATTTTTTTACCTCAATCAATTCATGGGAATAAGTGATTTTCATTTATCTTTTCAATACGGTTACTGAGAAGAAAAGGAAAAAATTGAGACCCATTAAAGCCAGTCCTTGAAGATATTAGAACATACAGAAAAAAATACATTTTGTAAAGTGCACACACATACACGCAAAAGACCTTGTTGACTGTTGAGTGAACGAAGTTGCATACCAGGATCCTAACCGCGTGGAGAAGAACACATCTAGTATAATAAGAACAGACAAAACAACCACAGAGACTGTTTTCTTCTGCTTTAAAAAACATTACGCTTATATGTGTGTTTTATTTTTTTAAATATCATTGATAAATTCAACTTACATCTCAGATTTTATTCAAAAACTATCTATTCCAGGAAAAAAGTAACACTGAAATGCTGGACTCCTGTAATAAAAAAGGCCATGTTCTGAGAACAATTAAGATATGAGAAGAGATTTTTTTTTTTTTTTTGTACAGGATGGTGCAATTATATTGGCTTTCTATAATTAATTTGCAATTTAATTTTATGGATTATTTTTACAATGTTCTTCCTAAATGTCCTAATTTTTAATGCCTCACAATGGACTCTTTGAACACTGGCTCTGCCATTCACTGGTATTACTTGTGGCGAGTTACCTGCAGTCTTTAAACGTCCTCTTTCATTGGTAACATGGGGCCATCCAGCATACAACTCACCTAAGTGTTACTGGGCATCACTGGTAGGTACCATGGGGCCATCCAGCATACAACTCACCTAAGTGTTACTGGGCATCACTGGTAGGTACCATGGGGCCATCTACCATACAACTCATCTAAGTGTTACTGGGCATCACTGGTAGGTACCATGGGGCCATCCACCATACAACTTACCTAAGTGTTACTGGGCATCACTGGTAGGTACCATGGGGCCATCCAGCATACAACTCACCTAAGTGTTATTGGGTATCAGACTGATATTGCACAGGAAGCATTCAACACAATGCCTGGCACAATAATGGTCACTCAGCAGGTATAAACTTGTATTAATATTATCGCTATTCTGTCTGGAAACATGTGCCCAAAGTGAGGATATGGGGACGTGCCTGATTTGGAAGGTCCGGCTGCTTTCCTCTGCTCAGACAAGATCTCTCCCTGCCCCAGACTCCTTCAAGCATGCAGGATTCTGTGGTGGATTCCAGGACTGAACAAGTCCTTTT